TTACTTTCTAAATAAGCTATATTTTCTAATCTTAAAAAAAAAAAAAAAAGAAATGTCCAGAATAGGTTAATCTATAGAGACAAATTAGATTAGTGGCTAGGCATGGTGGCTCACGCCTATAATCGCAGCAATTTGGGAGGCCAAGGTGGAAGGATCATTTGAGCCTAGGAGTTGGAGACCAGCCTGGGCAATATAGTGAGACCTTGTCTCTACAAAAATTTAAAAAATTACCTGGGTATGGTGGCACACACCTATACTCCTAGCTACTCGTGAGACTGAGGAGGGAGTATCACTTGAGCCCAGGAGTTGGAGGCTGTGGTGAGCTGTGATCATGCCACTGCACTCCAGTGTGGGTTATAGAGTGAAAACTGGACTTAAAAAAAGGAAGAAAGTCGATTAGTGGTTGCCTGGGGCTGGAAGTGGGAATAGGGAATGATTGTTACTAGGCAGGAGGGATCTTTTAGGGGGATGAAAATGTTCTGAAACTGGATTGTGTTGATGATTGTACAACTCTGTAAATTTATTTTAAAAATCACTTAATTTTGCACTTAAAATGAGAGAATTTTATGGCATGTAAATTATATCTCAGTAGAACTGTTAAAAACAAACCATTAATTAACTACACTTAGAGGGAAAGTCATTAGAAGTATACACTAAAAACCTACAACACATTTTAAAATGTTGAACCTTTAGAAGTTTTTTCTATAAAATGAGGAAAGGGAACATGCCCACTATTACCACTGCTATTCAGCAGTGTCATGGGCTGAGTTGTGGGTACTAGCTGGTGCAATAAAGGAAAGAAAAAAGTGTATGTATGTATGCTGCTGCACTCCAGTGTGGGTGATAGAGTGAAAACCGAATTCAAAAGAAAAACAATATTATTCACAGATGATATATCAGGTGTTGGCAAACTGTTTCTATAAATGTTTTAGGCTTTGTGTGTTACAGTCTCTAAACAGTCATAGACAATACATAGGGATGTTGCTGTGTTCATACAAACTTTATCTATAAAAACAGGCAGTGGGCCAGATTTGGCCCGTGGGTCAAAGTTTTTCAGTCTCTGCTCTATACAGCAAATCTGTGTAGATGTGGTGGCTCATGCCTGTAATCCCAGTGCTTTGGAAGGCTGAGGCAGGAGGATTGCTTGAGACCAGGAGTTCAAGACTTGCCTAGGTAGCATAGTGAGACCTCGTGTCTATAAAATTTTTTTTTTAATAGCTACATGTGGTGGCACACATCTGTAGTCCCAACTACTCAGGAAGCTGAGATGGGAGGATTGCTTGAGCCCAGGATTACAGTTCTCTGCTGTGCAGTTTGGAGTGTAATGGTGCAGTAGATTATAGCCTAGAACAGCTGGGCTCCATCGATTCTTCCATCTTAGTCTCCCAAGTAGCTAGGACTACAGGTGCTGGCCGGCACACCTGGTGTTTGTTTTGTCTTGTTTTGTTTTGTTTTATTATTATTATTATTTTTGTAAAAACAAAGTCTCTCTATGTGGCCCAGGCTGGACTCAAGTGATCCTCTTGCCTCAGCTTCCCAATATGCTGGGATTACAAGCATAAGCCACTATGCCCAGTCTAAATTTTTAAAAGTATATAACTTTTTGTAATCAAAAAATGTAAGCCGGGCTCGGTGGCTCAGCCTGTAATCCCGCGCCTTTGGGAGGCTGAGGTAAGTGGATTGCCTGAGCCCGCGGGTTCGAGACCCGCCTGGGCGGCGAGACCTTATCTCTACCATAAATCAAAAAATCAGCCGGGCGTGGTAGCGCACGCCTGTAATTCCGGCTACTCGGAAGGCTGAGGCAGAAGGATCACCGGAGCCCAGCAGGTCGAGGCTGCGGTGGCCGGGAGCGGCCACTGCACTCCAGTCTGGGCGACAGAGTGAGACTCCAACTCAAAAAAAAAAAAAAAAAAATGTAACTGGTACTTGGGAGTAAATTACAACAGAAGATGTGAATAACCTTTATGAAACACACTGTAAAACTTCATTTAAGTCATTGCAAAACTGAAATCAAGCATATAGATTAGAAGACTCCTCTAAAACTACAATAAGCAAAATTTTTTTTTTTTTTTGAGTTGGAGTCTCACTCTGTCACCCAGACTGGAGTGCAGTGGCCGCTCCCGGCCACCGCAGCCTCGACCTGCTGGGCCCCGATGATCCTTCCGCCTCAGCCTTCCAAGTAGCCGAGATTTTTAAATTTTATTGTATAGATGAGGTCTCACCAAGTTGCCCAGGTGTGTCTCAAGCCCACGGGCTCAGGCAATCCACTCACCTCAGCCTCCCAAAGGTGCGGGATTACAGGCTGAGCCACCGAGCCCGGCAATAAGCAAATTTTAAAATAAAGGGTGTAAACTCATAAAGATGGGAGACAGGAAAGGAAGCAATGACAATAGAATTTTAGAAGTTGGAAAGCAGTTTGATGAGTGGCAACTGACGTAAACCATTTGACTTAGTAAGTCCAAGAAGACCGAATTCTAATCTGGCAGTGGGGAAAAGTTAAGAACTTAAGACAGTTTACAGAGATACTTCAAAAAGTCCTAGGAACTTGCAACCCTGGGTACTCTGTAGTAGAAGGGGTAGTTAAAGTAAGCATTTAAGTGGAAGATGTTTAGGAACTTACATCTCCTCCTTAACCCATACCACTGTTTAATCAACCTCCCATTTTAGCTGAAGTTTCTAATTTTATTCTCTAAAGAGAGTTCAAATAGAGAGTCTATATTAAAGGACATCAGACAAAGTTGAAGGCTATACCTTACCAAAATCAAGGGGATTAAGTGACCATATGCACACTGAATTGTGAATTCAGAGATCCTTGGCTTTCACTCGATATGGTGGAACTCAAACCCTACCCTGCACTCAGAGTTCTCAGCCATGAACAGACAGCCAAAGATAATCAGATATTTAAGAAAAACTTCTAATATAGAGAACCATACAAATGGGAAGAGTTTTTGGAATAAACAGACTATCTAGGGAGTAGAAAATTTTTAAAAATTTTGAATGCTGTCAATATCTTCTGAAAGATAAGAAAAACTTTGTATGCCTGAAGCAAAAATAGGAGGCAGCAGAGGAAAGAAATAGAGGAGGCTTCTAAAGTACTGGTATTGTTCCTCTTAACTAAATGGGTGATGAGTCATAGATGTTCACTTTTCTTTAAATTGTACATATATTTATTTATTAACTTTTTTGTAGGTATATTATGGTTCATAACTTAAAAAATAACAACAAAAGAAAGAAATAAAGGAATTAAAATAGGCAAGGAGTAAAAATCTGTCAGAAAGAGACCAGGCAGATTTTTAAAAGAGCCAAATAGAACTTAAAGAAGTTAAAAACAACAACAACAACAGCAGCAATTGAAAGTTAAAAAAAAATACAGAATGGGTCAAATAGTAGGTCTAACAGCTTTAAAAAATAGATTAGAAGATAGACATTGAAAAATTACCCAACACTTCATCAGTAAGGGTACCTGATCTCAAACCAGGTGAAGTGGAGACCAAAGGGAGGCCCAAACTTCATCTGTACAATGACCATTGGTATACCTAACCCTGAATTGTACCCCACATCTTTAAAATAAAAATTTTTTTAAAGTACACTATCTCCACACATGAAAAATGTTACCCAAAATACAACATATGGAAATGAAGAGATAGAAAACATGAAAGAGCAAGTTATGAGACAATGAGATTCAGGTGTGAATGTTTTAAACATTAATTTTTTTTTTTTTTTTTTTTTTTTTGAGTTGGAGTTTCACTCTGTCACCCAGACTGGAGTGCAGTGGCCGCTCCCGGCCACCGCAGCCTCGACCTGCTGGGCTCCAGCGATCCTTTTTGATTTATTGTAGAGATGAGGTCTTGCCAAGTTGCCCAGGCGGGTCTCAAACCTGTGGACTCAGGCAATCCATTTACCTCAGCCTCCCGAAGTGTGGGATTACAGGCTGAGCCACTGAGCCCGGCTGTTTTAAACATTTAATTGGAATTTCAAAAGAACAGAGAAAATGGGTGAGAGGTAATGTTGGAATAATGAAAAAATTCTCCAGAATATATGTATAATATGAATCTTAAGATTTAGAAAGTCAAATGAATTCCCATAATGATAAATAAATTTCATTTATTCAAACTTAACACATATCAGAATGTAACTGCTTTACTCTGAAGACAGAGATCAGCCAGAGGAGGAAAAAGATAAATTATCCAAAGTAACAGTCAAACTAATAGCAGACTTACACATGGTAACAACAAAAGTCAGAACTCAGTGGACTATTATCCACTAGTAATATTATTAATAATATTAATAGTAATAATATTAATAGTAATAATTTTTAAATTGCTAGATTTATGATGTCCCCTCAGAGAGGCCATCCAAGTATAAAGGGTTAATAATTAGTAACATAAAAAGAAACATTTTATTGGAAAGACATCTTGTTTTTTGAAGTTTCAGATTTTTTTTGGTCAGGAGCAGTGGCTCACACCTGTAATCCCAATGCTTTTGGAGGTCAGGATAGAGGATCATTTAAGCCTAGGAGTTCAAAGTTGCAGTGAGCTATAATTTTGCCACTCCGCTCCAGTCTGGGAGACAGAGTGAGACCCTGACACCAAAACAAGCAAACAAAATAACCCAGAAAACTTTAAATTGACATATTATAACTGTATATATTTGTAGGATACAATTTGATGCTTTGATACATATATGTTGTATAATATCAAATTAGCATTCGCATGACCATCACCATGTACTTACTATTTCTTTGTGGTGAGGACATGCAAAAGCTACTCTTGTAGCTAATTTGTAATATATTATATCTTCTTATTAATCGTCTCACCCTACTGTGCAATAGAACACAGGAACTTATTCCTACCAATTGTAACTTTGTACCCATTGACCAACCTCTCTCTATCCTCCTAATCCTCTTAAATTCTATTTTGAAGGATAAAGAAATATGTGATTATCACTGTGCCATTATATTTATGATAATCTAGGTTTTGTTGGTTATATTTCTCCTATAGGTGTACAGAAGATGGGTGTCCGCACAAGAAATTCTTTCACACGCGTTTTCTCATGCGAATGAGATTAACACCAGATTGTTCCAAAATGTTGATTTCAACCTCCTCTGGATATCTCTTAATTTTGCATGATCTTGACTTAACTAAGTCTTTAGAAGTAGGCAGCTATCCTATTCTGAGAGCAAGAAGAACTACATCAAGTTCAGGTAAGCTTTTCCTTTTTGATTAAAACAAGATTTTTCTCAAGAATCTCAGACAAGGCAATGATACATGTTTCTCTTCTGAAAATGATAGCAAGAAAAAAGGCATTTTTAAAAAAGCTCACTGAGAGCCATTTTTTCCAAATAAGCATAATGATCTGTATATATCTCTGGCATAACATTAATTTGTGTCACTGTATCACAAATGGCCTAGGAAGAATGACTGCTAACTCTAAAAATATTTCCTTTTAGCTTTCTGCTAGCCAAAGAATCTTTTATCAATACTTCTGAGTCATCACTATCTCAAAAATTAATGATGGCTCAAGGTAGTATCAATCTTCTTAAGTCTTTATGGAATCCAGCAAAGATTTTTAGTTATGATCAATATAGAGTTTTAATTTTAAATCTATATTGTATCCTAGACTTCCAGATGTTTAGATGTAGCTAACTAAAACCTTGTCTCTTCTCTCATTTCTGGTTTCATTAGACTTCAGTGAATTTGGTTTCAGAAAAACTTAAGTATTGTATTTTATCAACATTATGTGATGAAACATTATCTACCTTTGGGAAAGAGATGACTGGTCTGGGGACATACCCATCATTTATAATACTGTGTTTATGAAAAAGAACCTAGAAAAAAATATTTAAGTATATGGAACACAATATTTGTAAATTGCTATTAAAAGGCAGCTGCAAATGATCGGAATTTTTCTCCATGTACACACTTCTGAAGATCTTTTTGGAAAAGTACAGGCATAATTGTACTGTAGTTGCCCAATTTAACTGCTAAAAGTAGAAATTTAAGTTTTACTGATTTATTTACAAACGAGGGATTTCATAAAAACAAGAATAATGCTTTTAGATTAAATTGCCTTTTGTTGTAAGTTAAATATGATAAGCAACCTGTTGGCCTATTTTGACTAACAAACCAAGAAGGCTTTCAGTATTCTAAGGTTAATTCTGATACTAAATAACATCACAGGAAATTAGGTTAATAAGACATCCCCCCAGAGGTGTGGGGCTGCTAGAAAAGTATCATGAAATAGAGGTTGCTATTTGGAGTAATAGATAATATGGACTCTACTATCTGCTAAACATTTTATTTTTCCTACAGATTTCAGTATAAAACTTTGTATTGCATTTCAGAGTATTCACATAAGCTGGGCATAATGATATGTACCTGTAGTTTCAACTACTCAGGAAGCCGAACCTGAGAGGAGGTTCAAGTCCATTCTGGACAACACAGCAAGACCCTCATCTCAAAAAAAAAAAAAAAAGAGAGAGAGAGAGAGAGAGAGACAGTATTCATACTTTCAAGAATGATAATAGAAGTTTTTAGTTTGCTTTAAAGAAGGATCTGTTCGTGTTTCCAGTAATGGACCTGTTATTTGTACCCTATTTTAACATTAAACAACAGGCTTGACAGCTTCGTTTTCATTTGCATTGAATTTTCTTGTTCCATTTTAGTACAGAAATTATGGGAAACCAAAGATGCTCCTGTGCTTATTTAGTTTTTCACTTTTATTTCACATAAGCAAGTCTTTGGTATAAAAGATTTTAGGAAGGGACTAGACTTTAGACAGAACACTTCAAAGAGCTGTGCTGGTGCCAGGCACAGTGGCTCATGCCTATACTCCCAGCACTTTGGGAGGCTGAGGCAGGAAGGTCACTTTAACTCAGGAGTTTGACCCAGCCTGGCAACGTAGTGAGACCTCGTCTCTACAAAAAAGTTTAAAAATTAGCTGGGTGTGATGGTGCATACCTTTAATCTCAGCTACTTGGGAGGCTGAGATAGCAGGATCACTTGAGGCCAGGAGGTTGAGGCTGCAGTGAGTGAGACCCTGACCAAAAAAAAAAAAAGAAAAGAAGAAAGAGCTTTTCTGCCTTTTGTTATAGACCAGTTTTATTTGAACTTTTTTTTTTTATTTAAAAAGTATGATTAAAGTAGATAATTTAAAAATTTAAGATCTACTACCAGAGTTATGCTTAGGTTTATTGTCAGAATTTTTTGTATTTTCAAGATTTGACTACTTCATCAAGTTCATCTGGTCCTAGAGTTTCTGGTTCACCTTGTCATCATAGTGATTCTAATTCATCTTCTGAGAAACACATGTCACGAGCCTCTCAAAGAGAAGGTAGGTTAAAAGTCAGATTTCATAATCTTGCAACAACAGATTCCACCAAATAGCTTTATTTGGTTTGGTTTTAATCCATAAAAATAAAAGCCAATAGAGAGGAGGTGATTTCTTATCCCTTAGTCATCATTTTCAAAAAGCTAACCAGAGTCTCTGGGGTTTAATATCTTGGGCTTATATCTTTGAATTTGAGCTTTGGTTTTATTACCTGGACTTAATTTGGCCTGGTTTGGAGAAGTAGTTGGGAAATGTAGATGTCAATCAAGATTGTTGTGAAAATTAAATGAGAGTATGTATGTGAAAGTACTATATTAATATAAGGGATAAATTTTCAGGTGATTGTGAAAGTCACCTGGTTCACACCTAGTAGGCTTTTTCCTCTGCCATTTGCTTTTCTGTGCAGCGCCTATAAAGTGAGCTACGGTCTGGCCCCACTCTTTTTTTCTTAGCCATTCTGGCAGAACTAGCTGCTCTGCCTGTGCCTTCTTCCCCCTTAATGAAATGCTTTCTACCTGTACAAATTCCACCTACTGTTCCTCTTTGTATTAATCCACATCTAAGCTCTTATAGCACGTATTGTTTATTCCCTTCTTTGTGAACTGAGTATTAAGGGCCAGATACTGCTTTTTTTGTTATTTTGGGTCACCTTTTGGAGCTGACATGTCTCTACCTCGATATTTAAAGCAGAGACTAAATAGACTTAGACTTCTAATTTGTGTTTTCTCTGGGTGGGTTTGCCTGGCAGATGCTGGTTATCTTGCATGACTACTTATGTCAGTAGAATGGTTTGAGAGCTCTTTCTAACCTATAGCTTATCCTCTGGATGTTGAAGACTGTTGTTTCACTTTAAGGTTAAAAACTCCTCCCCTTAAATTTAAAGACTTATGCCCAGAAGTATAACATTTCTCCTTTAATTTGTAGCAGAAATGTCTTTTGCAGATTCTACCTGTTCTTCTACTTGGGCTATGGGAAACTAACCATGGCTTTTAATAATCATTGTGAAAAATCTTTATTGATTGACTAAACCATCCACAAGAAAAAGAAACTTAATTTCTGCTGGGCTTGGTGGCTCAGCCTGTAATCCCAGCACTTTGGGAGGCTGAGGTGAGAGGATTGCCTGAGTGCACAGGTTTAAGACCTGCCCGGGGAACTTGGCGAGACTTCATCTCTACAATAAGTCAAAAATTAGCCAGGCGTGGTAGTGCGCACCTGTAGTTCTAGCTACTTGAAAGGCTGAGGTAGAAGGATTGCTGGAGCCCAGCAGGGCAAGGCTGTCGTGGCCGGGAGCAGTGCCACTGCCCTCCAGCCTGGGTGACAGATTGAGACTCCAACTCAAAAAAAACAAAAAACAAAAACTTAATTTAAGAAAGAAAGAAAGCCGAGCTCGGTGGCTCAGCCTGTAATCCCTCGCCTTTGGGAGCCTGAGGTGAGTGGATTGCCTGAGCCCACGGGTTCGAGACCCGCCTGGGCAGTGAGACCTCACATCTACAATAAATAAAAAAATCAGCCGGGCGTGGTAGCGTATGCCTGTAATTCTGGCTACTTGGAAGGCTGAGGCGGAAGGATCGCCGGAGCCCAGCAAGTCGAGGCTGCGGTGGCCGGAGCGGCCACTGCACTCCAGTCTGAGCGACAGAGTGAGACTCCAACTCAAAAAAAATAAAATAAAAAAAGAATAATTAGCATACTTGCTTGTTATTGACCAGTAGTAAACACAAAAACACGAGTATACAGCAGTCTCATGCTTTGGAGAGTTGAGAATGGGAAGAAAGAAGACAATTAATGGGTGAAAGTAGAGGGAAAGGTGAGATAAGGAGAGGCTTATAGTGAAGTTGCTCTGAATGTCAGAAATCCTAAATCTTTAGGTGTTAGAACATATTAAAGCACCCTCGGTAGATTTAATACCTATATAGAGCAGAGACTTTCAAACTCATTTCAGCATCAGAACTCTATTTTTGACATGAAATGTGCTGTAGATTATTAGGGATGCAGCACAAATAAAATCAAAGTAGCTGTGGTTGAAGTAAAATTAGTGAGGCCCTTGACCCTCCAGTCTTCCCCACCCCATCTGTACCTCGGTTCCCATATGGTTCTCCACTTTTGCCAGCTCCTGGAGAACCTCCAAAGAGCACAGTTTGCAAACCACTGCTTCCCTGTTTAGAATGGGTTTCTTTTCTGCTTTTGTCATAGGTTTCCACAATTCTTAAAATAGGAATTTACTTTTCTCTAAAATTGTTATAATTCAGCCACATGTAAAATCATTATTTGGGAGTAGTTTGGTTGTAACTGTAATTTAGAGCTTCACAGGTTTCTGTTAATGATGTAGTAATATAAAGGGAATCTTTAAAAATTAGATAACATATTTGCTTGAGAAGCAATTCACACAGGGTTCGACAGAGGGAGCTCATTACCTTCGAAGTAACTCCTTCCACAGGCAGAAAAGTGTTGAAATAGTTCTCTTGATATTAAATTTCTAACCTGCTTCCTTACAATATTTATGTTATTGGTTCTTCAACACCTGAGGGTTATAGCATACTCCCATTAATAACAGTGGTTTACTATTGCAGTCATTTTCATTGGGGGCTAGATAGAAGGAAATGATAGGGCATAGTAAAGTCACTAGGATGATGTATAATTGGCAATATCTCCCATCCCTTGTATTGACATCTCTATGTGAGGTGTCCTCCCTCACCTCCAAAATTACATTTGTCATTGGGGGCCGTAAGTCCTGATCCTTTTAAGTATTTAAAGACAATCCTCATGGCTTCCAGGTATTTCCTTCTCTGGAATAGAAAGCACCAAGTCCAGTGAAATGAGAATTATTATCTTTTACTTTTGTAGCATCCTTTCATGACACATAACGTTGTTTCTTACTTACACAGCTTTCTAAGATGTAGATCCAAATCAAAAGGACCCCTAGTCAGCTTTTATGCCTCTGCCTAAGTCACTGGAGATTCCTGCTGAAGGAATTTGGATGCTTCAGTTCTAGTCATGCCCTTTCCCTGTACTCACACCCCCAAAACTTTTTTTTTTTTGAGTTGGAGTTTCACTCTGTCACCCAGACTGGAGTGCAGTGGCCGCTCCTGGCCACCACAGCCTCGATTTGCTGGGCTCCGGCGATCCTTCCACCTCAGCCTTCCAAGTAGCCGGAATTACAGGCACGCACTACCACGCCCGGCTGATTTTTGATTTATTGTAGAGATGAGGTCTCGCCAAGTTGTCCAGGCGGGTCTCAAACCCACGGGCTCAGGCAATCCACTCACCTCGGCCTCCCAAAGCGCAGGATTATAGGCTGAGCCACCGAGCCCGGCTTTCCCCCAAAACTTACACACCATATACTGGGGAGTACCACGTTCTTTTATATGTAGTAGCATGTGGGGCAGACTAAGGAATGAGGACATGGAAGGTGGCTGTCAGAAATCAAAGGTTTGATGAACTGCCTTAGTTCTTCAATAATATAAATCCCACATTCTCATTTTCTTATCTCTCAGGAGTTTCACCACGAAATAGTCTTGAAGTCTTAACCCCTGAAGTTCCTGGTGAGAGAGACCGTGGAAACTGCATCACATCTTTACAGCTGCACCCAAAAGGCTGGGCCACTCTTCTTCGGTGCTCAAGCAACACTGATGATCAAGAGGTACAGGCAGCAGCACTCTACCTTCAGTAGGGCTCACTGAATTGACACTGCCATGTGTGCAGACCTTAGGCTGATCACTGGCCGCAGCTTCTGCCCTGAAAGCCGTACTGTCAGAGATCCTGCTTCCTGACTCTCCTTTTTCTTTCTTGTTTTTTTTTTGAGTTGGAATCTCACTCTGTCACCCAAACTGGAGTGCAGTGGCCGCTCCCGGCCACCGCAGCCTCGACCTGTTGGGCTCCGGCAAGCCTTCCGCTTCAGCCTTCCAAGTAGCTGGAATTACAGGCACGCGCTACCACGCCCAGCTAATTTTTGATTTATTGTAGAGATGAGGTCTTGTCAAGTTGCCCAGGTGGGTCTTGAACCCATGGGCTCAGGCAATCCACTCAGCTCAGCCTCCCAAAGGTGCAGGATTACAGGCTGAGCCACCGAGCCCGACTTGACTCTCCTTTTTCTACCCCCTTTTACTTCATATGGTATCTTTATCCCTTGAAAACTCTTCTTCCTCCTCTCCCGACTGGGTGTAGCAGGCTGGGGAATATTTTAAAGATCATCCTCATCTCAGATTATTCCCACCTTCCTAATTCTTGCCTCTATCTCACCATAAAAAAAAAACCTTATATAGTAAACATAGGGCTGAGATGCTTCAGCTAAAATGGCTAAATGTGAGGTTTTACTAAGCCAATTGAGTATTAATTATAGTTTGTTTGTTTTTTTTAAAAAACAGGAAACTCTGAGAAAGGAAGGGACTAAACTGATGACTAGGGAGAAGGGTCTTATATGACTGTCATTCTCATCACTCTGGAAAGCAGGAGTCTTTTTAAAAGGAACCCACTCAACCTAGAGGACACAACTGAAAGAAGGAGAGGAGAACATTTGAATGGTGTAGGGAAAGAGTTAAGGTACTCTAGGGCTTGAATATACCCCAAAACTTAAAAACAATCAAGATTGTTGTCCTTGGAAATGAGACTATTACTACAGAAGTCACAGGCAGCCTCAGGTAACAAAAGACTTTAAGGTGGCATAGCGCAGAATAATTTCAACTTGTGAGAAGAAGGCAAGGGACCTACAGGTTTTGTTTGTTAGGAGAGGACAGCATTCATCCGATTTCATGCAACAGTTATGTCTCTTTTAAAATCTGGTTTTTGTTTTTGTTGTTGTTGATTTAAAAATAAGGAATATCTGTAGCGCTATTTGGGCTCTATAACCATGGTTTGTCTCTCTTCTCTCCCCCAGTGGACTTGTGTCTACGAATTCCAAGAAGGAGCTCCAGTGCGACCTGTCTCGCCTCGCTGTTCTCTGAGGCTGACTCATTACATTGAAGAAGCCAATGTAGGCAGGGGCTACATCAAGGAACTTTGCTTCAGTCCCGATGGGCGAATGATTTCTTCCCCACATGGCTATGGGATCCGCTTGTTGGGATTTGACAAACAGTGCAGTGAACTTGTTGACTGTCTGCCCAAAGAAGCCAGTCCCCTTCGGGTGATCCGTTCTCTGTACTCTCATAATGACGTGGTACTGACAACAAAATTCTCTCCAACACATTGTCAGATTGCTTCAGGGTGCCTTAGTGGACGGGTTTCTTTGTATCAGCCAAAGTTTTAGGCACAACTTACATCAAATAAGGAACTCTTCTGGTGTTTAACTTATAAATTACTTCAATTTAGGTGAAGTATTTTCTTTTTACAAAATCTTGTAAGATTGGGTCAAGATCCTGGTTTTTATGGGTCCATGAACACTCCTGTGACCTGAGTACTTGGTCATCCAGCCTCATAACGGGCATCTCCAAGTTAGACTCTATGCAGCATCATCTTTTTCAGCATTCCTCTGCTCCTGCTGATCTGTGCCACTGAACTCCAGTTCTTCTGGTTATTTTGCATGGTAGTTCTTGTCAAGTTTCCCTTCCTCCCTTCCTGCCTCTCTGTCTCTTTTTCCTTTTTTTTTTTTTTAATTTTGGTGTGAATTTCGTGGACACTTGGCAGGAGTTTGGGCTGAGGTAGGAGAAACCCGTGACACTAAAATTGAATAAAACATAGAAGTTTATTTCCAACTGATTGTTGGAAAAGAAATTTCATCTTTACTTATCAGTATACTTGGTCTTTTAAAGTTGGTGTTATATTTCTCGATATTGAGCACAGATAATGGTATTATTCTCATAATTGTTTAGATAGTCTTGCAACAAAATGTCTTTTAAATTCTCTGTTACAGTTATAAAGTTTTTTATGATGAGAGGGATTTTCTTGTGAAATTCTAGAAAAAATATGACCATCTCTCTTTGTAATTTACTTGTATGAATTGAAAATCTCTAGCATGTGTCCTTACTTGGCATTTTGTTCCTATCAACAGCATTAGAAAAGAAAGGAGGAGAAGAAATGGGCTTTGGTCATTTCTGTTGTACTGAAAAGAATTTATTTGTAGATTAGTACAATATCTGGCTGCAGAGTGATGTAAACAACGTGACTTAGATTTTCTGTTTTTTTCTGCCAGATTATTTGTATCACACACGATGATGTGTTAACAGTAGTGGGGTGGAGGAGGAACCAAGAGTAAAGAGATGGAAGTTTACTCATCTATTTTCGCTGAGCCAGGTGTCACAAGCTCAACTCTCTTAGTGAGGGAAGAACTGTAGTCTTCTTAGGCTGTTGTCATAACTATGGTAGTCAGTGACTTGGATGTCAAGACTAAGTGTTGATTTTGAAGACTTGTGTTTGTGTTTTGTTAAGGAATACAGCAAGCAGAAAGTGTCAAGCAGGGGTCGCACAAGGCTGACTTCTCTGCTTTGAATAAGAACTTTCTTCCAGTTTCCTCCACATGGGTGGCATTGTGTTTAGAAGTGATTGCCAGAGGCTGGAGTGAATTAAGCCACTGATTTAGTCTTGCCCTCTTAGGTTACATTCTCTTTAGGCCAGTGGTTTTCAAACATCGGGGTGTATTATAATCATTGCAGACCTTGTGAAAAATGCAGAAACCTGTTTCTCACCGTTGGAGACTGATTCAATCAGGGAGAGGATAGGAATCTATATTTTTAACAGGAATCCCAAGTAATCTTTATTCTGGTGGTCTCTGGATCACAGTTTGAAAAACACAACCTTAATCAGCAGTAAATATTTCTCTACCCATATGGTGCTTAACACAATTTCCACAAGGTGTTTTTATTGCTTTAAAAATGATAATAATAAGTAAATAAAAGCAATTTTAGAGGTAGAAAATAACTTGGAATGGAATCAATTGCATTATTTGACAAATGAGAGAAGTTAAGTGATTTGCCTAAGGTTATCCTGCAAAGTTAGTGGCAGAGTCAGGACCTGAATTCAAGTCTTCTAATTCCTTGCTCAGGGCAATTTCTACTGTACTATGCCGGCTGTTAAAAACAATGACTTATGGACACTGTGTCTTTAAGTTGTATTTTTGTGAATACCCTTAAACTGGCCAATAAATTGAAAAAAAGAAGGCATGGGAATAAATGCTGAGAATTCCAGCCATAAGAAGAAAAGCATTAAAATCTGACAGAAATGTTTAATCCAAATACATGAATAAAAATGACATTTCTTTGTAGGACCTACCGAACAGCCATTCACACATGTGTAGAGGTTATATCTCACTTGTAACAATTTTTGGATTTAACACAAATTTTAAAAATTAGATCATTTATTGGATGTTTTAAAAATGGCTAATTTGTTGGTTATTGAAAAAAATCACCACAAAGCACGGTGAATACATACTTGCCATAAACTTTGTAAAAAATACATATTTAAAAGGAAACATAGATTGGAGGTTAAAAAATACAAAAAAACCAACACCCAAACAATGTTATCATTAAAAATGAGCTACCAAGTACATTGATCATATTGGTATTTTTAAAAATCTGTAAATTATATGAACTTTGGATGCTGGACCCACGTTACCCAACTCAAAATTCAACCAATGATTTTTTTTTTTTTTTTTTAAGTCGGAGTCTCACTGTCACCCAGGCTGGAGTGTAGTGGGCATGCTCACAGCCACTGCAGCCTCGACTTGCTGGGCTCAGTTGATCCTTCTGCCTCAGCCACCCAAATAGCTGGAACTACAGGCATGTGCCGTGACTCCCAGCTAATTTTTCTTGATATATTGTAAGGATGAGGTCTCATCAAGTTGCCCAGGCTGGTCTCGAACTTGTGGGCTCAGGCAATCCCCTCACCTTGGCCTCCCAAAGTGCTGGAATTATAGGCCTGAGCCAATTTTTTAAAACTACTATAGAGTACCTGTCATGTGTCAATAACATACATACTTTACGACTAACCTTAACAAAAACCTTATAGTGTAGGTGAAATGGGCCCCAGTTTACTTTGGAGTTAATGGTGAGTCAGAGAAATTGACTTGTTTTAAGTCAGAGTTGACAGTAGGTGACAGCACTGGAATTCAAACCCAGATTTGTTTGTTATAGTACAAAGCCTGTGTTTACTACTTTACTATTGTGTCCTTTAGTTTGTAAAGGATGACAAACTGGCCTGCTATTTGTTTAGTATCTCTGGACATTTTTTTATTACAGAGCTGGCTTACTTTCTGTACCATGTAAAAGAACATTTACAAGATTGACAGTTTCCACTTAAGGCATACATACAGTTCATTCCTAACTAAAAAACCTCAAGCAGAATAAGCACCTATAAAATAGAAAAGAAAAAGTGGAAGATAAACAACCTTGTGTAAAAACAGAGCCATATAGGTGAGAATTAACAGTCAGCAAATTCAAAAGAACATGTGTCATCCTTGATGTATCGTGATGATCAAAAAGTTATCAAAGGGTTGGGTGCAGTGGCTTACACCTGTAATCCTAGCACTAAGACTGAGGAGGGAAGATCCCTTGAGCCCAGGAGTTTGAGACTTGCCTGGGCATCATAGTGAGACCTTGTCTTAACAAAATATGTGAAAAAAAGTTATTAAGGAATATTAATCAATGAATTAAAGGGTATCAGGAATGCTATAGTACTGGAAGAAATTACGTTCTACTATTTTAAAGTCCCATATCACTTAGTTGTATAAAATCTAATTTTTTTTTACTCTAAATTTTATTCAGTCATTTTTATTCATGATACTTGGTAAATGTATTATAATTGGTAATGTATAATTTTTGGTAAATGTAGTACAGATTGTTCTCCTGTTTTAAACGTTTTCTGCAGAACAGTATATTTATGGCCATGCTATGTTGAATGAGTTAGGGACATCAACCATATAGTAGTTCCTTATTTTCAATTGTGAAAATGAAGTGGCTAAAGTAGAAGAGATCTATTTTAGTTGTTTAAAAATGTGGGTGAATTATCTTTTTTCTCAGAAGCCCAAAGCACATGTATATTTTGATATTTCTCCTTGTTACATCCCTGAGAAGAAACTATGCCAAAAATTTTAGGAAAACAAGAAAAAGGTAAATCATGTATTCCCCACTCCTGTGTCTAAAACCAAGATCATTATATAATTGTTAAAGTTGTGTTCTCTAGAAAGTGCAATATAGGGAAAACACTCTGAGAATCTTTTGGAAGCTTAGTGTTTCCCTTATTTGTTAGAATATGTGGTACTGGCATCCATAAGTATCTGTTAAACTTGTGTTTAGCAGGAGAAATAGCCTGATCACTTTCTGATGACAATCATTCCCATTTAATGACTAGTAGCCACTGAATGCTGTGAAAATTAACTCAGTAACACCTTGTGCTGGTCATGAAGGAAACCATGTGTATGAATTTTTGGATAACTAATGCATATCTCTTAAGTGCCAAAATTTAAAACTTGTAATTATTTTTGATGCGATTTTCAGGTATGTTAGTATACCTCCCTGCCTTCTTAAACAGCATGCTCAGTATAATTCACTTTTCCATGATGAAAAGTTAAAAGTATATTCATAATGTTTTACTACAGATATTCTGTGAGCTCTGATGTATGTAAAACACTTCATAAAATGCAAAGGGCTATCACAAACATGAATTACCAATATCTATTATAAAGTGATTGTCAGTTCTGTGGTATATAGAATCATTTGCCTCAGGTTGCTGGGGTTTGTTTGTTTGTTTGTCTCTTAAATCTTCTAAGTAATTTGTTCTTTCTCCTCCCACACCATCAATATGCCTGCCTCCTCAACAACTACCCACTTTCTTCTAATGTGTATGTTCATCTGATACAAGCCTGTTTAGAGTGTCTACAGAAAAGCTGGACAAACTCTGGGGGCACAGTCTTTGAAACAGCTCTTTTGGTTTTCTGACAGGTTCACGGTACCTACTGGATAATGGATGCTCCCAGTTAAAGCCTAGGCTAGTGATCTTGTTAGTTGCAGCTAAATAAGATACTGTAAATTAAGGATGCTGCTAGATTAAGGAATAAACAGCAGTGTACCAAAGTACAGCAAAGTAACAACAAAGGCTCTGTATCAGCACAGAAGTCTTTCATGCTTTTAAGAAACAAGCAGAAAAGTACAGGGAAAAAAAATCCAGATAGACTTAAAAGTATTTTAGATGCCATTAAATTTTGTCAATAACCATGAAAATATATGCTTAAATTATCACATGTTACAAAGACACAATTTAATCTCATTGTAGAATAAGATCGTACTAAAATTTATATTCTAGAGATGATTCTAAATGATGTCCTAAGAATTTATCCTATTCAATTGATAATGGAAATTATCAAAAGGAAAGTTTCAAAGTTACCTTTATACTGCTCTCTTGAGTTGTAAATGAATTAGATATGGGTTTTTATCAAAAGTCCCAAGGAACACATCTCTCTCACACTCACACTGCATTTATGTGTATGCATATATAAATGTCACCATAAATGAAAATGTCACCCAGAGATAATAAAATAATTTTAAAAATTTAAATCTGGTCCAAAGTGTTTAAAATAGCTAGAATTTTCAGCTTCTCTAAGTTTCTTTCTCATTCAGGTTTCCTGGTTTTTATATTGAAAGGGTGAATATTTGAATTTTCTTTTGAATTCACTGCATCTTGCATTGCCCAACTGTGCTTTCTAGTAAACTTTAGATTCATGATTTCAGGAAATTTGGAGGTTCTAGATAATATACTAGATATTCAGAAAGTTTTCTCGGTAGGTTCTGAGGTGTTGTAAGTTCAT